CATAGTCACTGGCACCCATAGAGCATGCCATTTGAAGACACACAGACACAGAAGGAAGACAGCATGAAAGATGAAAGCAGAGATTGGAACGTTGCAGCCACAAGCCAAGGAACACCTGGAGCCACCAGAAGCTACAAGAGGCAATGAAGGATGCAAGCCTGGAAGAAGCCTGGCCCTGTCAACACCTTGAGTTTGAACTTCTAGCCCCCAAAGCTGTGAAAGAACAGTTTTCTGTTGTTTTAAGCCACTCAGCTTGGGGTACTTTGTCATGGCAGCCGGGAAACTAACAGAGCAGGCCAGTTCTGCTGTCTGGAATGGCTTTTAGCCAGCTCTGTCACTGCCGTCATGCAGGCGGTCAGGTGCGGCTTCTCTGTGAGCCCTGATGGGGAACCCTTGTCCAGTCGATTGGGAAGGTCTGCAGGCCAGCCTGCCTCCCCGACTAGACTGTAAGCTCCTTCCGGGCAGGGCCTGACCTATAGTAGGGCAGTATGATTCCTGGTACATCGTGGGAGCTAAGTCAATGTGAGGTGAATGAAGACATAGTTGAGGAGTAATGAGACCCTCTCAGAGCCATCTACTCTTCCACAGCCTGTTTTAGCTTGGATGGACATAGGAGAGTCGACAGAGAGGTTATAGCGTCGTCCCCACGGCACATTCCTAGCTCTTCCACTGTCCAGCTCCCGCCTGGCCCCACGTGAGCCTGAATAATTTGGGGAAATTCCTTACCTTCCCTTTCAATCTGTCCATTGGCTCTAGGAGTTTGCCACAACATAACTGCTCAGGTCCCTCCAACAAGGGGACTGTGTCTGTGGCTCGATGACTCATGCACACTGCTCCATCCCGCAGCCTTGGGCGGGACCCAGGGCTGGGGATACTGCCAGCCAGGGCAGGCTAGAAGCTGGGACATCCCATTGCACCAGCCCAGTCCCCAGGAAGGGAGTGTGCTCAAGGCTTCAGGACAAAAATCTGGAAGCAGGGAGGCAACACTCACTTGAGCTGAGATCTGAGTGACAAAAAGAAGCAGACAGAGGGTGCAGTGAGTTCAAAGGCCCTGAGGTAGGAATGAGCTTGGCGTGATCAGGAACTGAAAAGAAGGCAGAGGAGGCTGGGGCATGCTGAAGAGGAGGTCAGTGGTAGGACATGTGATAAAACTGAGCTCACCTGGATAATCCAGGATAATCTCTCCATCTCGAGGTCCTTGATTTAATCATGTCTGCAAAGTCCCCTTTGCCATGTAAGGTAACATATTCCAGGTTCTGGGGAGCACAGCATAAACATCTACCCACCACAGTATCTCTCTCATCCTCTTACCTGCCCCTCTCACTCCATTGCTACATTTCTGTTTACCTATCCATCTACTTATTTGGATCTGACCATGGATCTACTAACCTTGTCACCTGGCCGCAGTTTCTCTCTCTTACCCCTTTATCAAGTATCAACAAGTTATTTATCGATCTCTCATTCCTCCATGGCTTTCATCTTTCAATCTGATAACTGCATCATCCCTCAGCCATCGGTCTAATGAACTGATTTTTAAACTCAGTCTACCATTCAGTTCTCCTCTGTCCATGATGAATTGTCAGTCATCTAGCTCCATATTTGCACATGTGTCGCATATGTGGACATTCTTTCTCAATGTCTACAAACAAATTCAATAAATATTCATGACTGCTTGTCATGTGCCCAATTCTAAGTCATGCGTGGGTGAGAAAGCTGGTTGATGACACCTCCCAGTAGCCACGCTGGGCCCTTCTTCATCATCGTCCTCATCACAGTCAATGCCATCACTGTCAATCCATGCACACTCTCCAGTTTTGTTCTCCACACAGGGATCATTTTTATGTGGACTTACGAGACAATCCAGACTGTTCTGGTCTGCCTTTTGCTCACTAGCCATCCTGTGTATAAATAATGCAGACTCATTTTAACTTGATCTTAGATAAACTGTAGGTAGAAAACTCTATCTGCTGGGCAAGCATCTTATGCATCAAATAACAAATCCTAAAGTTAAATGGAAATTATTTTTAGGTTGTCTGGGCAAATAGCACAGAGGATGGCAACTCCAGAGACGTTGCATCAGGCAATGTTTGGGCACATGCAGACACACAACACACACATACACATGCACATGGGCACACACAAATGCACACATGGGAATAATCTCTCTTTCCCCTGCCCCCACATAGTGGCTCCTTCCTGGCTCATTCACACTCTTGTGTGCATGTGCACACACGGCCAAAGTGGACACTTCGACGCTGACTTATGCCCTACCTCATCTTGTTTCCAGTATAGGAATCTCACCCCCCGACCTGGACTGTGAGGTCCTCTAGGGCAAGGTGGTGCCTGCTCTTCCTCGGGCATACCCTTCCAGCCTGGCCAGCCAGAGGACAAGACACTTAAGAGCTGTTGGCCTTTCCTTGAACTCTGAGGGCAGCTGGGGATCAGGGAGATAAGGAGCTAGATGCCCAATGGCAGAGGCTCCCCAGGGAAGCCCCTACTGCCCAACACAGTCCCCTCTGCCCCCTATGAATCTGCCTCTCTTGCTCCAGCCGGATGCCAAGGTAATGCATGCTTTCCTTCCTCTGTAGAACTCTCCTAAAGGAACTGTCTTAGGTGGATTATCTGCCTGGAGCTGGTCTAGCTGGGGATCAGTTTGACAAGAATTCCCTTGTTTCTAAGCATCTCTGCTGCACAGGCATCCAGGCCAGTTCCTGTCCAAGCCTCTCCCCAGGGCCCTGGCTGGAGATCTAGCACATTTGGAAGCAGGGTGGCACCTACCAGAGCTGCAGGTCCTGGATGCCCACCAGTTACAGTGTCCAAGGCCAACCCAGACTCACAAGTCACTTTGTCCACAGCCCTAACGGAGGAACAGCTTGCTCACTAGTGCCTACAGGAGGCTCCTAAGGCATCTACTTTGTACCCTGGAACACTTCCCAGCACTGGGAGGCTGGTTAAGGCCAGGACACCATTAATGAAGCCTTGAATGGAGTGAGGCATCTCAGGGCCAGCTTCCCTTGCTGCTTCCAGTTCCACAGTGAGGCTTGGTTCCATGCACATACTTGACCCCATCCAAATCCAATTTATGTCCCTCCCCCATCCTGTGGTATCCTCAGGACAGGGACCTCATCTAACATCTCTGTAACCTGAAGCCTGCCCAAACCAACCACAGGAATTGTATGCAGAACAGATCTGCACCTGTGCACAGCCCACACCAACATCCTGCACGCCCAGAGCCCAAATCCTGGCCTCAAGCAGTCTCCACATCTGCCTCCCAGCCCAGAGCCCTCACTCAGTGGGTTTCATTAACTGCTGAGAGCCCAACAGGTGATGAATTATCCCCACATTTGTTTCCTGAGGAGCCAGGCTGGGCCAGGTATCCTCAAGCCAAATGTTCTGGGAAGAAATGATACTCCACCTGTCAGAGGAGGGAGCTCCTCCAGGGGGCCAGGCTACTCAGAAACTTCTTCTCACACTGGTTCCCAATCCCAACCTGGCCCATGTTCAAGTCCTAGCAGGCTAAAGGCCAAATGGAACTTTTCCATGCCCCTGCTGGAGTTCAGACTCCATGGGAAGGCTTTGGAATGGACTTAGAATCCCAGGCTGGGCCAGCTGGAGGAGCCCAGAGAGACCCTGACGCTGGGGACCAGAGAGGGCCAAACAGAACCCAGGCCACCCAGGAGTCAGCAGTGGGGCTAGGCTAGAGGGCAGGTTTCCTGTCCCTGCCCTCCAAGACCACACTGTAGCCCATCACTGGGCTAGGGAAACATGACACCCCCCCCCACACACACACCGATGCTTCCGTCCCTGGAGAATTCTAAGCCCTGTGGGGCAAGCAACACTACCCAAATGCAAAGGGCTCCTTAGGGCTCCCTCAACAACCACAGGGTTGACTCCTCCTCTTCGTCTCCACAACTCCTACCCCAACCCTTCCCAGCTTCACTCCCTACGCTACAACACAGGCAACCGGTCACCAATTTGATGAGTCTCTTTCCAGATGCTTTGTTTTTTCTATGAAATTACATACGTCTGTGTGTCTGTGTTCAAATAAAAATGTAGGCTTTTTAAGGTATTTTTTATTTATTTATCTATTTATTTTTAAAGATTTTATTTATTTATTTGACAGAGAGAGACACGGCGAGAGAGGGAACACAAGCAGGGGGAGTGGGAGAGGGAGAAGCAGGCTTCCCGCCGAGCAGGGAGACCGACGGCCGGGCTTGATCCCAGGACCCTGGGATCATGACCTGAGCTGAAGGCAGGCACTCAACGACTGAGCCACCCAGGTGCCCCTTTAAGGTATTTTTTAGGTTTTTAATTTTTTAATATGAGATCATATTGCACATTGTACCCTGAAACTTGCATTTTGTTTTCAGGTATACAGCATAGTGTTTTGATATTTGCAAATCCCTAAACCTGCTTTTCACTTAACACTTTTATTAGGGCTCTTTCTACATGAAACATGCAAAACCATACAATGCTTCTTCCTTTGCTGCCTTCTTTTTTGCACTGTGGTTTATTTAGCCAGTGCTCTGGTGATGGACATTCAAGCTATTCCCAGCTTTTCTTTTTTCTTTTTTAAAGATTTTATTTTTTTAAGTAACCTCTACACCCAACATGGGGCTTGAACTCACGACCCTGAGATCAAAAGTCTCATGCTCTACCAACTGAGCCAGTCAGGCACCCCTGTAATGACATTCTTAAACAGATCTTCTTGGGCCCACATCAGAGGGTCTCTCTGGAGTGGATTCCTAGAAGTAGACTGCATGTTTTCATCTCTTTCTTCCAACTTGGGACAACTGCTGGTTCTCACCTTCCATTCTCAAGCAGCTTACGAGTATATTTTCCTGTACAAAGGGCAATTTCCTCTCAGGAAGAACCCTAAGGCCAGCTATTAACATCCTATTCTGTGCCCCATTGCTCTGCTGTGAACCAGACAGACATTCCTCATCTCTCTGGATGGTCCTCCCCCCTCCCATCTCATCTAAATCGCTATCTATATGCAGGTCCATCTCCAGACCCTTCTCAGACTCTGGACCGTTCCACGCCACAGGCTCCCAAGACTGCTTGTTTTACCATCCTGCATATGCTTAAGGACTTGTCTTCCTCAATGGGCCAAAATCCCTTGAAGGTAAGATCTGGACCTGGAACTCATTGCCCTAAGATAAAGCCTTGTTTACATAGGTGCTTGTTAAATGCATGTTATTTCTAATAAAACCAGATTAGCTCCAGCATGGCTATGAATTCATCAGTAAATGCATGGGAAGGGTCTTCGTAAGGTTGCCAGATGAGGAGAGATTTGCTTCAATCTATCACAAACGCTGGGGAAAAGCCAAAGGGTTTTTCTTATACTGTTCAACTTGACTTGGAGCCAGTGCCTTTGGTTCTTGGTGGTTCTTGGGTTGAGCCAGGCCCCTCAGCTCCACTCGGGGCGTCTCACACTTTGATGAGTGTCTGGTCAAGCTGGCCCCTGACTTGGCCAGAGGTACTGCCTGCTGCCAGTTTCTGGGGAAGCGTTTAGAGGCCCCAGGGATCTTCTTTGCCTTTTGCCATCTGTGGCCACTGGGCTAGGTCTGAGAGTCTGAGAAGAGACAGGTGGCCTGGCTGGCACATCATGCAGACATCTCCTAGGGCTGGTCAGTACCATCTCTAAACCAGCTCCAGAGGGGTGCTTCTCCCAGGCATGCATTTGTAGCACCACAGAAAGTGGCAAGGCTGGATCTTGCCAGGGCAGTGTCTTAAGCCACAGATGCAGCCCTGGGCAGCTTTCCTATCTGTCCCAAACCCCACCTGCAGCTCCTGCCTGGAGCTTGGGAGGCAGAGCTGCTGGATTTGTCCTCTCCTGACTGCCAAATTATATGCTTTGCAAAAGACTTGGCACAGGGTAGGCAGCCAGGAAATAGTTACTGAATGACCAACAGAGTGAATTTCTACCGATACATGATGATCCATCTCTATGAACATGCATATTACAGAAAACTCATTTTCAGGTAAAATCTTGGAACAAGCTGTAACAACTATAAATTTTCCCACTCTCCCTTAAACCCACTTAATCAAACTTCTGTTCATGCCCCTCTGTTGACATGGCTTTTATCAATATCACCAGTGAGCCCAACATGGCTGAAACTAATGATCAGTTGTCAGTCCTTATCTCACCTTATTCCCCTTGGTAGCTTTGGACATAGAGATTTCCTCCCCCCTGAAATGCTCTTACCTTGGTTTCCAGGACATTCTTCCTATCTCTCTGGATACCGCTGCTTCCTTTTTACTTTCCCCTACCCACCCCCCAATTTTTAAAAAATCATTACTACTATTTTTGAAGATTTTATTTTTAAGTAATCTCTACACCCAACATGGGGCTCAAACTCACAACCCTGAGATCAAGAGTCGCACGTTATACTAATGAGCCAGGCAGGCGCCCCTCCCCCAATTTTTTTATTGTGGTGAAATACACATAACATAAATTTCACTATCTTAATCATTTTTTTTAAAGATTTTATTTTACTTATTTGACAGAGAGAGTGTCAGCGAGAGAGGGAACACAAGCAGGGGGAGTGGGAGAAGGAGAAGCAGGCTTCCTGCTGAGCCGGGGATTGATCCCAGGACACTGGGATCATGACCTGAGCAGAAGGCAGACGCTTAACCACTGAGCCACCCAGCCGCCCCTATCTTAATCATTTCTAAGTGTACAGTTCAGTGATATTAAGTACATTCACACTGTTGTGCAACCATCACCACCATTCATCTCTGGAACTCTTTCATCTTGCAAAACTGAAACTGTACCCATTAAACGATGAGTCCCCATCTCCCCTCCCTACCCCAGCCCCTGGCAAACACCATTCTTCTTTCTGTCTCTGTGAATTTCACCACTCTTGACATCTACAGTATTTTGTGACTGGCTTATTTACTTAGCATAAGGACCCAAAAGTTCATCCATGTTGTAGCATGTGTCAGAGTTTCCTTCCTTTTTAAGGCTGAATAATATTCCATTAGATGTCTATACTGCATTTTGCTTACCCATTCGTCCATTCATCCATCAATGGACACTTGGAGTGCTTCCACATTTTAGCTACTGTGAATAATGCTGCTATGAACACAAGTATACAAATATCTCTTCAAGACCCTGTTTTCAATTCTTTTGAGTATATATCCAGAAATGGAATTGCTGGATCATATGGTAATTCTATTTTTAATTTTCTGAGGAATGGCCATACTGTTTTCCACAGTAGCAGTACTATTTTACATTCTCACTGACAGAGCACAACAAGGGTTCTAATTTCTCCACATCCTTGTCAACACGTGTTATTTTCTGTTTTCTAAAAATAGTAGCCATCTTGGGGCACCTGACTGGCTCAGTTGGTAGAGCATGGGACTCTTGATCTCAGGGCTGTGAGTTCAAACTCCACATTGGGTGTGGAGCCTACTTTAAAATAAAAAAAAGGGGGGTGCTTGGGTGGCTTAGTCGGTTAAGCATTGGACTCTTGATTTTGGCTCAGATCATGATCTCAGGGTAATGAGACTGAGCCCTGGGAAAGGCTCCACCCTCAGCATGGAGTCTGCTTGAGATTCTCTCTCTCCCTCTCCCTCTACCCCCACCCCAGCTCATGCCCTCTCTCTCTCAAATAAATAAATATAATCTTTTTTAAAAAATAAATAAAATAAAAATATTTAAAATAGTAGCCATCCAGGGCACCTGGGTGGCTCAGTCAGCCTTTGGCTTGGGTCATGGATCCCAGGGTCCTGGGATCAAGCCCAGTGTCGGGCTCCCTGCTCAGGGGTCAGTCTGCTTCTCCTTCTCCCTCTGCCCCTCCTTGCTGCTTGTGCACGCGCACTCTCTCTTCCTCTCCCCCCTCAAATAAATAAATAAAATCTTTAAAAAAATAAAATAATAAAATAAAATAGTACCCATCCTATTGGGCGTGAGATGGTACCTCACTGCAGCTTTGATCTGCATTTCCCTAATGATTAGCAACATTGAGCATCTTTTCATGTGCTTATTGGCCATTCGTATCTCTTCTTTGGAGAAATGTCTGAACACTTCCTTTTTAACAATATCTTGCTGATTCTTCTTCATCTTCCAGACCTCTTAACATTGCAGTGGCCAAGGGCACCATCCTTGGACCTCTTCTCTTTCTACACTCACTTCCTTAGTGATCTCAAACAGCCTTAGATAGCTTTAAATACCAGTCACCTACAGATACCTCTCAAAAGATGTCTTCAGCCCAGAATGTGCCCCTGAGGTGAGGCTGCCATTTCTAGCCGCCTACAGGATGGCTGCACTTGGACATCTAGTAGGTCTCTTAAGCTTACCATGTATAACACTGAGCTCCTTACCCTGCCCCAAATCTACTCCTTCCATAGTCTCCACATCTCAGTTAATGGCAATTCTGTTTTTCCACTGGCTCAAGACAAAACTTTTGTTGTCATTCTTGACTCCTTGTTTTCTCACACCCCATCAATAAACGTCAGAGCTATCTTCATAATATATATGGAATTTGGCCACTTCCACTGCTACCATTCTAGTGCACGTTAACATCATCTCTCACCTGGTCTATTACAGTGACCTTCTAACCTGTCTTCCAGCTTCAACCTTTCTGCTTTCAGGCTGTCCTCCATCTGACAGCAAACTAACCTGTAAAATCCAGTGTCATATCATGTCATCATGTCACTCCTCTGCTCAAAAGCATCTTTATTACACCTAGCAAAAGCCAAGTTCCTAACAACACCCTATATAATCTCTTTCTTATACATTTACATAATAAGCACATTCCTGCCTCAGGACCTTTGCATTTGCTGGTCTCTCTGTGGAGACAGTGGTTTCTTTTACTTCGTACCATGGACCCTTTTGGCAGTCTGTGATGCCTGTGGATTCCTTCTGAGAATAATATCTTTAAATCCGTAAAATAAGTTTCATAAATTATAAAGAAAACCAATTATATTGAAATACAACTCTCAAAATATTTTTAAAATGTGTAATACACAGTAATATATGTGTTTCTTATTAACTCATTAAATTATAAGAGCTCGCAGCATAATTAGGAAGTAGTGATAACTGTAATGGTATTTTAAGATCATTGTAACAACGATAATGTGATATGAAAATATCCGTGATTTCTAGTAGCAATGGTATCATGGGTGGTGCTAATATTACTGTGATTTGCTATCTGCATTCATTATTGAAGAACATGCTAAATGTTAATTAGTGAAAATAAAGATACAATTTTTTCCCCATCTAAAGCCAAGACCCCCCGAATTTCTATCCACAGATCTCTGGAGGGGGGGGTGTCCGTGGACTCCATGTCAAGAACCCCTGGCTGGGCGCCTGGGTGGCTCAGATGGTTAAGCGTCTGCCTTCGGCTCAGGTCATGATCCCAGGGTCCTGGGATCAAGCCCCGCATCGGGCTCCCTGCTCCTTGGGAGCCTGCTTCTCCCTCTGTTTCTCTCTGTCTCTCATGAATAAATAAATAAAATCTTAAAAAAAAAAAAAAAAAAAGAAAACATTTAAAAAAAAAAAAAAAGAAAAACCCCTGGCTTAGAATGCTCGCTCTTCTCCCATAAGCCCTCACAGCTCATTCCTTCACCTCCTTTTATGCAGAAGCCACCTTCTCAGGCAGCTCTTCCCCAAGGACTCTATTTAAATTGCATGACCACATTCCCTATCCCCCTTTCCTACTTAGTTTTTTCGGAATAGCATTAACTAACCTTCAAATATATTTTACTTTAAAAAGTTTTGTGTATCTCCTTCCACTAGAAAGTGAGTTCCATGAGAGTAGGCATTTTTGTCTGTCATTTTTGTGCTGTGTCCTCAGCCCCTAGAATGGTGCGTGGTATACCAGAGGCACTCAATAAATATTTGTTGACAAAAGTGAATGATTACATCTCCAAGAACTTTATGTTTCTTCTCATTTTTTTTCTGTAATAAGTTAATGATTTGTGAGGCTTTTACTAAAGACTAAGGAGTTATAATTAGCTCCATTGCTATTATTCTGTTAACATTTTCAAGGTTAACCTTAAACAGTAGCAGAGAACAGTGGGAATCCAAGAATTCTGATGGAGCTTCCAGTCCTAAACAAGAAGTGTCTTCCAAGGACTCCTTAGGGGACCTGGGTCTCACCCAAATTCAGTGAACCACTTTAGAGGCAAAGTGCTACCCACAAAATTCTTTCTTGCTATTATAGCAATCAGGCCCCCATCCTCAATCAAACCAATAATGCTATTACTTTTTATTTCTGGCAGTGGGGTAAAATGGAAAAAAATGTAGTCTTTGGGGTCGTGTGGACTAGATGCCAATTCTACCACCACTTGCTAGCTTGTGTGACTGTTAGTAAGTCACCAAACCTTTCTCAATAGGTAAAATGGGATTTTTGTGAGGATGAAATGGAACGACTTGCATACTGCACAGCACAGAGCAGGTGCTCTGTAAATGGTCATCTCCCTCTTCCTTCTCTCTAGGTCATTTTATAACTGCTTGCCAAGGTTCACAGGATCCTGATGGCTAAGAGGAGGAGCCTGTCCCATCTTTTGGTGCATGTAAGCCCTCTGCAACCAGACCCAATCAGAGCAGTTTCTTTAGACTGTGCCACTGTCAATTGGTACCCCCATTCCCACTTCAGATGTGTGGTTGAGACTGCCATCTGGACCTTGACCATGAAGCCCACCACGTATCAGTTTTTTCTCCTCGCCTTCCCTTTTGCCCTAACTGGGAGATCTTGTCTAGGTCCTCATGGAGAGCAAGACAAAAATCATTGTTCTCCAGTTTTTCAGTGTTAAGAACTTTCAGGGAGCACAGTCACCCTTCCAAAACTTAAGCACCAGGGAAAGTGTTAATGTGCGCTGTGCACTCTGAGCCAGGAGTGTTTGTGTTTACACAAACAGCATGTATACACACATACCGCTTCAGGACCCCTCCAGCCATCCTGTTCCACAGAAGAAAGAGACCCAGAGAGATGAATGCACTTGTCCACATCAAGTGGCTTCTCAACTGCAAAGCCAGGATTAGAATCCAGGTATTTAACCATTTTGTTTCATGTGAACAGCCTGTGTCATCTGTTTTCTGGCATTGAGCTTGGGTTTGAGAAAATCCTAACAACTGACCACTCAGAGCTGGAGTCAGGTCTAACCAGGAGGTGGTACCCCAGTGCCTCAATCTTGCCAGACAAGCCTCCCCAGACTTTGTGAATGAAGGCCAAGGAAGAAAATGTTGCAGTGACTCCCTTTGAGCTCATATTTCTTTCTTGTTGCAAAAAGTGCTTATTTCTGCATTCATCATCTCCCTTTGTTTTGTAGACAATCTACCCTGTCAGAGGATTTGTGCTGTTATTATGAGTTTGTTTATTATTAGATTTATTTCTCCTATAAGCAAATGTGTTTACAACATTCCATCGGGGGATCTTTTTAATTGTCACATAAATGTCATCTTATGTAAATTGTATATTTATCTTTCCATAGAAGGGGGGTGGAAGGGAAAGAAAGAAAGAATAAACAACCTTCAGTCTTGGAGAGGGAAGGCGGTTCCTGTCCCCGTTCACAACTCACCCACATGCCTTCAAAGCCAAAGGTGAGTTGAAAAAAATTATTGGATTATCTCTGAGGGATAGCCAAAAGGGAGAGGATAGGAAAAGTTGGCAACGATGCTTTGGGGATGTTGACCCAGGCTCCCAGGTCTCCCCAGCCTGAGACCAGCCCCTCCGCAGCTGGGAGCATCCGGAGAAGGTTGCAGCTTGCCCCCCACACCTCCCCACCCAGGAGGCCAGCCCAGCTCCTTCCTCGAGAGAAGGTGAGCGCGGCGGGCGCAGCGGGTTGGGTGGGTGTGGCCCGCGGCTCCGGGAACGGACCCAAGGCCCCGCCACCGCCTGCGAGCCGCCCGACAGCCCGCCTGCCTGGCGAGCGCAAGCGCTTCTTCCAGAAACTGCGAGGATCCGAGCGCACTGTTTGTGCACCACAAGGTCAAGTCGGGAAGTGGAGCCGGAGGAGGAGGGGCGAGGAGGCGAAGGGTGGGGAGAGGGGCGCCCCGCTTCCTCGCCAAGTGCCAGCCCTTGGAAGTTGCCCCCTCGGTTTTTAACCCTTTAGGGGTAATGGGAAGGACGAGCTGGGGGGGGAAGGGGACACCGCGGGGCAAACTCCAAGTGGGACCGGGACGAGCAGCTACCCACCCACCCATCACTGCGTTCCCCACCCCCCGGAAATGCGGGGCAGAGCTGGGAACCCGGAGGCACCCGGGCGGGGGAGGGGGCGACGAACCCGAGAGGGACCCTCTCTACGGACCGCCCCTCCTTTCTTGAGGTCGCCCACAATTTCAAGTTTCCCCCGCCCGAGATGTTAGTTTCCATCTGCTGTGGGTGGGGGAGGAGGGCCGCGCCCCCTCCCCCAGACTCGCGCGCGCGCCCCTCCCCTCCGCTCCGGCCAGCACTTTCTGCTCACTTCTGGCGCTGCAAAGCGCCACGCGATTTATTCGATTCGCATTTTTAAACCAGCGATTCGGGAGCAGGGCCTAGGGCGAGGGTCTTCCAGCGCTGGAGCCCCGGGAGGCGGGGTGCTCAGTGCAAACCTCGTTCCCTCCGCGAGTGTCGCCTTCAGGCTGTTATTTGCAAAGAAACGTCTTTTTGACGCAGGGAGAAATGGCAAATTTTAAGTACGTCATTAATATGGCGCCAAAAGATTTTTTTAAGTATAAGCTTGCTTTTTTTTTTTTTTTAAGGTTGCGGGGGGCGCCGCCCGGGTCTGGGGCGCGAAGGGGGCGGAGTGTGAGCAGAAAGTGTGAGTGAGAGAGTGGAGGGGCGGGGTGTGTGTGTGAGTGTGTGAAGTGTGAGCAGACCTGATGGGACTTGCACGGGCGCAGCCGCCGCTCGGCCCGGCCCTGGGGACAGGGCGGGCTGGGGGCGCCCCAGAGCCCATGGGGAGTCTGGGCCCGAGGTGCAGGCACACGGGCGGCCCGGCAGAGCACCCTCCCCCCGAGGCCTGCAACGCTACCTGGACCCGCTGCCGAAGCCAAACAACTG